GTTTCTCCATGTCTCAGTATACATAGCCACTACATTACATACTCATTTGACGTCAATATATTGAGTGCAATATATATTTAAATACATAACGACCAAAGATACAGCTCGTGTGGGCCTAATTATAATAAATATAGTATATGTTAACAACAAGAAATATATTAATATCTATCTCCTTTCACTATAACGGCGCTGTGGGTTTTCTTAGTGTGATATAACACTGAACCCGAAAACAAACTTGAAAGACATTTTAAAAGGAATTTATCTTCTAGCAAAAGTGGATGGTAAATGTTTCCTTTCTAATGTTGTTTTTTGGTTCATTTTTTCCCAAGTTTTGTAATAAATGAAGAAGAATGGGTACATTCCGGACACAGTGAACACTGATATACCGCGTGGAGACGAGGTGGAAGCGAGACCCGGGCCATCGCAGGCCTGCGTGGGTGGCGACCGGGCGGCTACTCGGCATAGACCGTCCCTGCACTCCGGCCGCAGTCAACAGTTCGCTCGCGACGTCGATTGGGAGCCGTTCATTCGGCGAGGGCTTTCGAATCGGGCGCCGTTCGTTTGCGAACTGCGCTCGGGAAACCGAGCTGGGAGGTATCGAACTTGGACGAATGAAGTTTGGATGAGCCGTGGGGGAACGTGTTTGAGCTCAGCTGAACGGACACCAACTGACACAAAACGAAAACACAAAGTAAGCTGAATATTCATTGCATCGATCTTCGACAAATATGAGGGGCGTTGCAAACTCGACTAAAACCCGACTAAAATTAAGCTCGAAAATACTTGCACGAACAACACTTCGAGTTTCATCATAACTATAAACTTGTGTTTTTCTGCTCACTTCAATTAAGCAGTTTTTTACTTTACAAACCTCAACAAACTCACGTTTTTCAAAGTGAGATAAAAAAAATAGTCCGTGTATACTATAACTTGAAAGATTTAGAGAAACGATAGCTAAACAAATCTGTAAAATGTAGAACTCAATGTAAACAAATCTTATCCGTTTCGTTACAAAGCAATATATGTTGAAATATTACAATAAAGTCCCTAAAAACATTACTTCACCAAGCCTGTAATCTCATTCATGTATCGTATATCGATAGCTTCATTATTAAAATAGTAGGAATTTTCCGAGTTTCAATCGGTTTAATTTGACTTAAATAAGTTTAACTAAATACAATGTAATCCGCATTAGGAAGTGTCTCCTAGAATAATTACAAAATATTTTTTAGTATAATCGAGCAATCTTTAGAGTAGAAGCTAGCAACATTGGAAGGTTTATGTTATCTTGTGATGTATCCAATGTACATAACTCATTGAATTATTTATCTTGTATGAAATATCAAACAGCGGTCAAGAAACAAACCAAACACGTTCATTCATATCCCACGGCGTCCACTGAATGTATCATTCATGTGAAAAATGTGTATTTACAATCGCTGACATGATGTCAAGTTATGAATTTTAATACTACCAAATTGCATCCTCATTCCGCTCACTGCTTATAGCTTCTATCTCACGACATTCCCCTTAGTTTTTTTGTACCTATGTCTGGCCTTGCAACTTAACACTACACTACACAAAATACCACCTTATCGCATTGATGTGATTTCTTCTGCTCTCTAATATATTCGCATATATGGTTCCCGTCATTCATGTATCGTATATCGGTATACCGTTCACAAAGTATATACTGAAGTGAACGAATTATAGTCAAACAAGAATTTAATATTATTTTAGTATGGTCTTTGCAGGAAGAAGAACATTTATAATAGACTGCAAAATTTTCCCACACTATTATGTAGAATTTAAAATTATTATAGAATATTAAAATACGAATTCTATCTTAAATGGAACACTTGTCAACAGTTAATATAAAATGTGAAATTTCGAACACTTTAGTTGTTATAAATTAGGACCATTTTTATAAATTATGCATTTTCAAGAAAATACTATTATGAATTGCCATTCAATGGTAAAATATACTTTGTGAAAGTATTTTGGGGCAGTAATTTTTGAAATCATAATGAACGGAGTATGGTTTCATCTCATATACTATACTGATAAATCACAATAAAATATCATCGTTAAAGTTAATACAAGTATACTATCTTCCGAAAGCCAGAATTAAAAATAAAATAATTGTATAACAATATGATTTACAAATATCAGTGAAAGGTATCATATCTAGTCATATTTATTAAAAAGATAATCTGTAAACGGTATTAACTTTGAACATTTATTCAGTATAACATTCGAGTTGTAAATCCTTAATTTCTTTGCAGATTTCTTTGCAGACCACATGATGGATAAATCATTTCAATTTTTCTGTCTGTATTAACTGTTAGATTTACTGTGAACATTTGCAATGTAATAAGGCCTTGTGGTTCTTATCATGTTTTAATCACGCAAGAAAAATCTATTTTTTTTTAAATGAAAGAATACTCTTTATTTATGACAACTGATTTTTTTGTTATGTACCGTCTCAAAATAACACGTCTTACTTTATGTTTTCTTATTTATGTTTATGTTTTCTTATTGACGTCAATAATGATGCCATTTAAACGCATTACCATTGAAAACCAGTCCACAGTTTTACCGATGTACAGTTCTCACAAATAATATCTCTGTAATTTGAAACGTATTGTAAATGTAAATATAAATTCGAGGTAATCGGCTAAAATGTGAATTATTCATCAGAAAAAAAATATTTTTTCAAGTACTTACTGAGTGTACGAACAGGGGAACACTACTACTAATTATTTGAAGTAAGTAACATAATATATTAAACGTTTCTTTCTATCACTCTGTGACAATATACCCAGCAACATCGTGCCCTTCCAGATTCAAGAATCAATGCCAACCGAGAACACGGTAAATCAACACGATAATTTCGGTCACGTTAATACTTGAGATATTTAACACTTTGTTTTGCAATTATATAGCTGGTTGCAAAATTCACGAGCGATATATCATTTAACTTGTCAGTGTCGTATTTCATTTCCCTTTCGATAACTCGCATTCATTGGTCATTTGTGCTACGTACAAATACCGTTTCACAAAAGCATCCAGAAATGATGATGGCCACCTGAGACCGATTTCCTGAGAGTCCCACGAGTGATTGGCACCCTCGGGCCCCTTGGGGCGGTAGAGGACCTCGTCCACTCAACACGCTCTGCTCCAACTCCTAATCTCTTCTTCAACGATTTGGCATCTCGTGAATCCTACGGTTCATGTTACACTTTTCTGACTTATTTCCTAACAATAGTAATTCATTTCTTTATTGCGAATCAAAAGGCAAGTCTCGATAAAGCCATTGATTTAAAGAATAGTCTAAGAAAACCTATATAGCTTGTGAATAAACTAACGTTCACGCACTACGCAACGCTACGAAGCGAAAATAAATCATGAATATATCATGAAAGCAAAAGAAGATGCTGAGAGCTTTCATTATATGGCACGTAGCATTTCATTACATATTACATAGTCATCTACCATTCCTCCACCCAATAAATGCGATGATCCATTTTGCCTACGTACACATTGTGTCAATCACTTTCATGAGCATTTTTATGTATTTTTGGAAATGTTTTCCGTCTTATGTCCTCAATATTCGGTTTAGCCTCAGTAATACGATTACAATCGACAAAATATAATATTGTTTAGTGTAATATTGTAAAAGATCTCTTTTTACTGCTCAGAACCAAGCTAAATTGCTCACTGAAAATTCCTCATTAACACTATCCGATTAAAAGTTAATAAAACGGGTTAATTAAATAAATTGCTTTCATTAAGACGCGTTAATGGTAGTAGACTGAATATAGGCGGTTTTCCCCTTTTTGAAGAAAATTTAAAATGATAAAAAGAAAAAACGTAAAACAAAAAGTAAAGTAAAATCTTAAGTGTTCAAATTCTGAGAGAAATGCAATTTAAAAATTAAGGAAGAGGTTTTAAAAATAACGCAACGAGTGTTGGAAACAATCAAAAAGAGAAGAAAAGTAAGTTACGGATTCCTTAAAAAAAGCGTTAAAGAATATTAACAAATTCAACGCGTTTTGAATTAAAAAAGTAAATGATAAATGAACTGGTTCAAATAGTTTAAGCATATATAACACATACGAAAATTTAAAAATAATAAAAGGCTTTTAAAATATGGGCAGAAAAAAAGCCGGGGTGGAACGCGGCAAAATAAAGAAGAAATTGTTGAAGAAAAAATAAATAAAGTCCGACCAAACAACCAGCTATCCATTTTGGTCTCGTGGTCTTTATCCATTTGGTTCTCGTGATCGACACGACGTCAACTTTGAAGAGAGAAAAAAAATAGAAATGGAAAAACGGAAAACAGAAAATTTCAGAGTTAAAATCAAGTTAGTAGGAGAATGTATAGAAAATGTGAGGTGCAATAAACCCGAATTAGAAGAACCAGAAACTATGAATTAGAAAATATCTACAGGAAGGAGAAAAGAAAAAAATAAATTAAAAAAAAACGCAACAACCAAAATAGTATAGTTACATCCAATAGGCGGTACTTAAGTAGTTTTTGAGTTGCATCAATCTTCTAATTACAATTTCAGTTTGACCATTACAAAAGGTTTTTGTAAGTGAAATGTGTGTTTGAGCTAACCCTCCAACCTGAGTGACCTTGCCCGTTTCGTTCCGCTTGCCGTCTCTTGCATCGAGCAGGCCGCAGGCGGCGTGGCCGCGCCGCGGGGCGGAGCGGGATGTGATCGACCGGCGTGCCTTCCTGACGGCCCCGCCCTCCCGGTCCCCGGCCCCGCCGGCCCGCTCGCCGGCCTGGCGCGACGCCCCTGCGCCTCCCCCCTGCCGTCGAGACCGTGCTGTCGCCGGCCCCTTCGCTGAGGCAGCGAGAATCGGCTCGGTCGAGCATGCACGGCGCTCGTGTTTCTTTTTCCGTATTGGATACTTGAACATGAACTCACTTAAAACTAAGCACTTCACTGACGAACAAACGAACTAAACAACGGAACAGACAATTTTAAACGGCAGTCCGTAGACAATGTGTGTGTGTGTGTGTGTGTGTGTGTGTGTGTGTGTGTGTGGTGTATTTGTGAGGATACTGCGCGCTAGGCAAAAATTGCCCGAGGGGGTCAAACGTTTTTATACGTTTTGGGGAGATATCCTAACACTGTAAAACTACTCACATAATTTGTGACTACTCGTGGAATAACACAAAATCCCATGCATATATCGTTTTGTTTGATACATAGCTTCTGAATACACAATGAGTTATTTACTCACATATAACATTTAAGCTTTAAGAACGGTCACAAATATTTAAAGCTGTAAAAACACCATGATATGAAATTTCATTTCACTGACAAAGAAGGGGACACCAAATTACATCTCATGTGAGAATAGCATGAGGTTCCAGCGCTATATATCAGTGTTCACAACACAAGAGCGAACAACAACAACCGGAACATGAACAATATAACAATGGCAATATAACAGACACTCCAGTAATAATTCAATACCAGATTGCTCTTCTTTTCTCGCTTCTCGAAATTCCGATGGCTCTATAGTACTCTCTTCTATGTATTATTTTTTAATCTGGGTAGCACCATATTGATTTCTTGAGCACATTTTGAAATCCCACATGAATGTCTCAATTTGTTGTATTCTAGAGAGTTTATATAAAATTCACATTTAATCCACCTTCACCTTTACATAGTGTTCCTGTTTTTTAATTGTTAAAGCTATGATTAAACGAACAAACATTATTACTCTACACCGCACAAACATATAATGAGCTAAATGTGCACTCAAAACACAAAACAATAGAACATTCGCGTAATACAAGAAAATAATTAAACCTTATCTGTAAGTTCAGTTGGTCTTCCTTATTATTATCATAATCAATGCGTTCTATCTTCATTTAAAATTAGCATTTACGACGGACATCGCGTCTTAGGGTGAGATGCAGATGCCCGCCATCCAATGTAGAGTATTGTGCTCAAGTATTATCATGAGCTCATCTTTGTTTTTAAAAGTATGATTGTTAAGATTGTGGAAAATGCTTTTCCTCTGGAAACTTCTTTCTAGACAGCTTCTTTGAAAACATTCGTTGATATTAGTGTATTGTTTGCAATTATTGTGTAGATGAAGAGTATTTGGACAAGTAGTGGTCGTTCCTATGATCACAGAACTGTTTCCATTTCTGCAATTTCTGTTCTGCATGTCCTGAAATACAAGAACAGACAAGCACAAAAATGATATATTGTTTGAAATCAAATGCACGTTACGCATGTACTCCGTAAAATAAACTTTAAAAGACACATTACTATACTATAAGGCACATTCAGAACATGAATAAATACATAATAACATCTAGTAAACATATCACACAAATTTTAATATTGACGCGCTTTTCAAAATTCCATACCACTGCTAGAACACATTAATTTTGAAGAAGCTATAAACTATTTTATACGTTATCAAACATTTTTAGATGAAGCCAAAACAACTTGAAAAGCGCTTGCATGCAGATGTAGCCAAATCGCGTTAACTATGGCAGAGGGAGGAGCTTTTCTGTTTTATTATCGGATGAGTCATACATCTGGTACTGCCTTTCTGTCTGGTGCTCTGGTTGATACGAGTTATTTCTTGATACATACTCTCCCTCCTTTCCTTTGAAAGGTCTCTCCTAGTTAAATAGATTAAATATGTTTGGTTCAAATTAGCTTTTGTCACTGATGCCCTGTAATTTAAATGTGTGACATTTTTTTATTTATAATGTCTTAACAATGCTATCAATAATTGATCATATATACTTTAATGATTTGTCGAACAAATTTCCAAGACAAGGAATAAAATTGTCTATTGGTGGAAAATTAAATTACCCAAATTCATCCAAATTAAAACAACTGAGAAGAAATATATGAAAGATATTAAAAAAACAATTATCCTTAGTGTATTGCAACATATTCTCTTAGGTCTATTTTAACAAAAAATACAGTCTCTTAGTCGTATTCCTACGTGAATGGATAATGTATGTCCAAACACGATGAAAGCAATGATAATAGTCAACGTCACATTAAATTCTGGAGTCAACAAAGTGGCACTGAACAACATTTTGGTTACGTTCCGCTGAAGAAAGCTTTTTTCTACATCACTAAAATAAGAATTTTATAAAATCTAATAAACCTCAATTGAAATTATTTTGAGAAAGAATTTGAGATGTGCCGAACAACAGCAAACTTCCTTTATAAGACATCTGCAGACGACTAAAATCATAGCAAACTAAATTCTACTTAAACACTGAGTTCACATTATGCTTAAATGTAGATAATTAAATCGAATTACCAATACAGAGAATGAAATTAAAATGATCGTAGAGTTTAAAAATTGCTAAATAACGATTTGGTCGGCACTTGCGTCACATTTCTGATTGATTTCACTTGAATGTATCCCCAAAAGATGCTAAGTAAATTAATTGAACATTCTCACAAAAGTATTGTTAGAAACAATTATCTTATGATAGTTATAGAACAAAATAATTTTGAGAAACACAACGAACTCAAACGTAGGAAACTTAAAAAAAGAGACACGTTCTAATATGAGGTAGATCTAAACCTCATACATTCACGTTACGTTGAAATACATAATATAACCCCAATATACGTGCTGAGGAAGTAAAGAGATTTAAGTATAGGAAATAAGAGACGACTATATGAGAGGAGGAGATGAATCGACCGTGGAAATTATTTTAAAGCAATCCAATTTTGAGTCAAATTTGATGATAAGCTGATGATACGAAATGCACGGAAGCGCAAATTGCTGGTAATAAATTGTTTGAGAACTGCAAGCTCACGAACTTCAAGGAGTTTTCAACATTTAATGATGGAGACAATTGTGTGTTTGTATCTCTTTAAATAAAAAATTGTCACCATGGGATGAAAGTCTCGAAATTTTTGAATAATGTGGAATAATAAAATTTTACAAAGACAGCATAGACTAAAAATAGAAAACTACACTTGCTGAAAAATCTCAAACAGGAAATGGCTGAGTTGTCAAGGTGGAAACAAATATTTTTTCCTTAAATAATCTAAACATTTATAAATTAAAATGTGTACTGGGACATTGTAGAGGTTTTAAAACTTGGATGATGAAGGTGTGCACATGTGCGAGTGGAATGAAAATATGCTACAGTGACAAGTGCTTTTAGCCAGTTGTTCAGCAGCTTTTTATTTTAAATATTTTTTCACCCGTCTTTTTACTATCCATTTAGTGTCTCACTTACAAATGTTAATACCCGTTCGTGAACACGAGCAGCATTATCTACATACACATCATACATCAGATATCCATATTTCCTCTTTCTGCCAACATTCACCTTCAACAATTTTATTTTTGGTGGTGGTCATGTTGGCAGAAAGAGGAAATGTGGTTATCAGATGCATGTGTCGATAATACTGTTTTGGATTGTGATTATATTAGGAAACTTATTTTTCACACTTCTTGTACTACATCTGGTTTCAAACTAGCTGAGAATCCAAGTCAACTATGTCAGTACTTCTCTGAAATTTGAGGGATACGTCAACAAGAAACGAGAAAATAAATTTTGTATTTGCAGTTCCTGACTTTTATTTCAGAATTTGGTTGTTCCTAAAGAAATTCGACGTAGTTACATCCTTTGCAACCTGTGGAAATTTCCAAAGTGTTTTGGATGAAAGGATTTAATTGTTTAATTTTTATGGAAATAGTGTTACCCCTTTCTAAAGCAGAAGCTCCTTTGAGCCTTAATACTGATATAATATCATTTAACTCCATTTTTAATACAAAGCAATTTTACAGTGAAGATGAATAATGCTTAAAAGAAAACGAATTCTAAACGTTTATAGTTGTTTGGCATTGTATGTTTTTCTTTCAGGTGTTAATTAACCCTGTGGAATAATCACATCCTTAGCAGTGATGACATAAATGATGAATGATGATTTTAATATTTTGATAATTTTACATAAGAATACATTTACAATGCAAAAACTATTGGAATTCGTCTCCGAATAGTTTGATTAAGTAGGTAAACTAAAATATGCAAAAAGTCCGCTTTTTAGAGTTTTAATTAAAAATAAAACGTGGAGTCGTTTGGAGTCTCGTGGAGTCATTTTTGGTTTATTTTACAGGTCTCTATTAAAACTTTACTGCAGTCTATGTATTCATCCTTCACGGAACGTAGGTGATAACTCGCCCATTCGTGGTGATATCGGATAAAAAGATGGGTAATTGAGATCTTGTTATCAGACAAACGAATGTCACCGGAGCAAGGAAGCAAAAAGGGCAAGCGATGGACGATTGTCGCCGCCCGGCCGCGAAATTCGCTTGTAATATATAATTGTTATAATATTTGTCGTGGCGGAAGAGTGGTCAATCCTCCTTCTCTCTAAAAATTTTGAAGGGGGCTTACGTAATAAAACACATCCGTTGATTCTATCAGTTAATGATTTTCCCCATTTCCCATAGTTGACAATTTGAGGCATTGATACACGTTGTGGTGGAAACTTTCCAAACCATCTGGCCATCCTGTATCTGGTTGAAAATAAAATATTTTCTTTATTAAGTGTATCATTATTCTTCTACACCTTACATTTCGAGTAACTGCTAGTTCCGACTTCACTGTCTGCTTCCATTTTCTCCTCGGTTTTCCCATCTCCCCCTCCTTTCCATGCGTAAAAGACAACTGCTTTTGGATATCTAGTATCTTCCACTCTTCCAAAATATTTTAACCATTGGCGTCTATATTCTGGGATCCTAGTGTTTATTTGTTCTACTTTTAATTATTTTCTCACGTTTTCTTTTCTAAACATTTCCCCCTCTTGAACAGCCTTCAGTTTCGCGAAAAAAAATCATTTCACTTATCGTTCTCTTCAGCTTTTGTAACCACAGAGCAGCACGGGAATTGCCATATTTAAAAAAAAATTCTAGTTTCTTGTGTTTTTAGGTGGTGGGAATGTTTCTACATATTGTTTGGAATCTCGAAACTTTATTTTCTGTCTCTCTATCATCTGGTCTCTTAATATACTAAGTAAGTAAAGGAGGAGACTTCTAAAATGTTATCAACGACTATCTTAATCTTTGTTTTCTCTCTTAATATCTGAATATCATATGTCTTACAGGTCTGATGGAGATGGTGTGTAGAGCATTGTCTCTTGTATTATTATAACATCATCTGCACATAATAAAATATTTAAAATACTTTCTTCGGTTAATTTTATAACTATGTGATTTCCATTTTGTAATGATGTCATTAACAAATTCATTAAAAAACGTTAGCAACATTGGACAGCTTTGTCTAACTCTTTTGTTTATTCAATTTTATTGTGAGATTTGTGATCCACAATTTATTACAGTTTTTGTTTCTGCTTATAAACTTTCTACCCTTTCCCTCAGATGTCTAGGACAGCCTTGATTTTCTAATTTTGTCCATACAGTTTTTCGTTGAACACTATCAAATTCTTTTCCAAAGTGAATGAAGGCAATATGAGTCTGTCAGTTATATTCCCTCCTCTTCCCTAATATGTGTTGTATTATGAAGACATTCTCTGCTGTGGATCTGCCTTTCTTAAAGCCGCTCTGTTCCTCTTCTGGTAGTGCTTCAGTTACTGTCTTAGTCACTTGTTTATTATTTCGATCGTATAGCTTGTACATTACATTCAGGAAGCTAACTCTTCTGCAATTTTTACATTGCCTTCTATCACCCTTTTGAAACAAAGAAGTTACTAATGCTGCCTTCCATTGTTCTGGAAATCTAATTTGTGGCCAACATTGTTTTATAACATGCAATAGTCTTCAATGCAACATCATGCAGCTACATTTGAAAAGTTTGGTACTAATATTTTCTAATCCTGTGACTTTCATATTTTTCATTGCATTTTTTTCAACTTTTAACTCTTGTATTTCAATTAGATCAATTTCTTCTTTTATATTTTGCCAGCTCCAATTTTCTTTCGTCATATCTGATCTTTTGTTATCATTACGATTCTTGCCACATCTTTATCATTTTTATTTATACGTTTGAGTCCTTTGTAAGCATTTCTCTCTCTATCGTATATGTCGTGTTCTATTTGGCTAATGTAACTTTAAAGTTATGATTTCATTTTCCTAGAAAAATATGTCACTTCTAAATTTAAAAAAAAAATAATGGAAAAGGGGGGGGNCATGGGTGGGCCCCAAAATGCTGGCTT